TTAAAAAGAAAATCCAATCTCAATATTTTATGCAAATTACCTCCTACTAACACCTTCTCTCTTCCATCATAGTTTATCCTTCAATTTACATATATCTTGATTCTTTTTTTTTTAACATTTATTTTAACATTTTATAACTTATTTTAACATTTTATAACTTATTTTAACATTTTATAACTTATTTTAACATTTTATAACTTATTTTAACATTTTATAACTTATTTTAACATTTTATAACTTATTTTAACATTTTATAACTTATTTTAACATTTTATAACTTATTTTAACATTTTATAACTTATTTTAACATTTTATAACTTATTTTAACATTTTAACATTTTATAACTTATTTTAACATTTTATAACTTATTTTAACATTTTATAACTTATTTTAACATTTTATAACTTATTTTAACATTTTATAACTTATTTTAACATTTTATAACTTATTTTAACATTTTATAACTTATTTTAACATTTTATAACTTATTTTAACATTTTATAACTTATTTTAACATTTTATAACTTATTTTAACATTTTATAACTTATTTTAACTATCTATAACACCTCTGAGTATAAGAACATTTATAAGAATATTTAGAAAGTATAGATCATAAAAAAATGGGGAGAGAACTACAACACGTGCTGGGTTGAGCCGCTGGACTCTCGACGCTGAGGAACTTTCGTCATAAAATGTGGAATTTGATGAGAAAAAGACGAAAGAGAGAGAGAGAGTGAACAGCCTCTGCCAGCGAGTTCATAAGGCAGTAGTGTGTAGTTATGCCATACATTATATACTGTCCACAATATACTTCACGGTGACACCATCAGAGGCCTCAGCTGTGACCAAAGACCAACAGGGGATGACAGGCGAGGTTGACAAGACCCTCTTTCTTTCTTTCTTTCTTTCCCTCTCTCTTCCTTTTCTTCCGTCTTTTCTTTTCTATGTTTTTGTATCTCTCTCTACTTCCCTCACGCCTTCACTTTCTATCGTGCTTCTGCTCCTTCCCCCTCCCCCCCCATCTTCTCTTCCTCTCCTTCTCTCCCCCTCCCCCTCTCCTTCTCCTTCTCCTCCTTCTCTCCCCTCCTTCTCCTCCCCTCCCCACCCTCCTTCTCTCCTCCTCCCCTCTCCTTCTCTCCCCTCCCCCCCTCTCCTCCTCTCCCCCTCTCCCTCTCGTCCTTGAGTAGAAAACGTCCCAAGTTAAGGTCACCTCTCGAACACAACTTTTGATGGTCCTAAAAATCCAAATCTTTTGTGCTTGTACTAGATGCGTTCTTTAAGACTCCCCTGTAAGTAGATGCGTTCTTTTAAGACTCCCCTGTAAGTAGATGCGTTCTTTTAAAATTCCTGTAAGTAGATGCGTTCTTGGAACCCTGTGGGTTTGGGGCTCCACCACAGTAGAATGGGGCTCTGTGAATTGCGTTCTTTTAAGACTCCCCTGTAAGTAGATGCGTTCTTTTAAGACTCCCCTGTAAGTAGATGCGTTCTCTTAAGACTCCCCTGTAAGTAGATGCGTTCTTTTAAGACTCCCCTGTAAGTAGATGCGTTCTTTTAAGACTCCCCTGTAAGTAGATGCGTTCTTTTAAGACTCCCCTGTAAGTAGATGCGTTCTTATTGTATCCTAAGCAAAAAGTGAAGAATAAAATGTAATTCTCTGTTTCTTCGTGTACTTGAGTCTAAGTCATTATTAACATCAGTGATAAGAGTCTTTACGTCACACCGGCTAGAGATATTGAACGTAGGAGACTGGAATCGGGGCCATGGGAGACTGGAATCGGGCCGTGGGAGACTGGAAGCAGGGCCATGGGAGACTGGAATCGGGGCCGTGGGAGACTGAAATCGGGGCCATGGGAGATTAGAATCGGGGCCTCGGGAGGATTGCTCGTGAAGAATGAGGGAGAGAATCTGTCACACTTATACTAAACCTGGACCTAAACTCAGTGAAGGAAGAGACACAAGACGAACTTTGAATACCTCCTCCTCCTCCTCCTCCTCCTTTTCCTCCTCTTCTTCCTCCTCCTCCTCCTCCTCTTTTTCTTCCTGCTCTCTCCTCCTCGTCTTCGTCCAACTCCTCCAACTAATTTTTAACAAACACCCAAAATTATGTTTATTTTTCCCCTCGAGTAAAAAGATAAGAGAAACACCGCCTGTATCTAGAGGCTCCCCCCCAGGTGCTCCCCAGGTGTTTCCCCCGCAGGTTTCCCCCAGGTTCCCCCAGGTGTTCCCCCAGGTGTCCCCCTCCAGGTGTCCCCCTCCAGGTGTCCCCCTCCAGGTGTCCGCTACTATCTCCTGCTTATTGTCACCAAAGGAACATTTTCCCCGGATAAGTTTTGCTAAAGTCCCTCGCGTCTCGTCCCAAGTCTCCTGAGCGTTGGAGATATCTCTTCATTTGTCTCCTTAAGCTGAGACACATCGTGCTTGTTTACACACACACACACACACACACACACACACACACACACAGTAGGGATCTTGTGTGTATATCCTCGCTGTCTGGGTAAATGTATACTGTATACTTGTCGAGGTCAGGAGTCACAACACGACTACTAGCAATACTGTTTATACTATTAACACCACCGTTACTACTACTACTACTACTACTACTACTACTACTACTACTACTACTACTACTACTACTACTAGGACCACCACCACCACCACCACCAGAATAAACCAAATTTTCCACCTAATTAACGTTTCAGATTATCAAAGTTTCCCGCATCATTTTTTTCCCTCCAAGGCGTGAATAAAACACATATCCAATTACGTCAGACTAAACACACTGTAGACATTGTACACCTGTGTTGTGTATGAAATTGGATTACCCGAAAGGCGGCCTCTTACACCTGCGGTAATAAGGACAAAAATATCTCCCCTCACGGTAATATAGTTTTGTCGATGGCGTCCCCGGAGCATCTCACCTTACTTCATTCCTCACCCAGCCATTCATGAGTTCCCCTTAACCCTCCCTCACTCTCCCCTTAACCCCCTCCCCCCCCCCTTCCCTCTCCCTCACCTGCGCTAGGAAGGTGTTGTAGAGAGACGCCGCCCCCCATTACCTTAATTACTTACAGCGCGTAATAACTCGGTCGTCAAGGAAGTAATTACCTTGAGTGATGACTATAGGTAAAAATTAAGGTGCTAGGTTAGGTTAGGTTAGGTTAGGTTAGGTTAGGTTAGGTTAGCGTCGTCATCATTGTCAGTCATCTCAGGTGTTCAAGTCATCTCACCTTCATCATAAGTCATCCAGGTGAACCTCAAACAATTCATCACACCAAACCAAACTTAGGAATTTCCAGGTAATATTTCCAGTTCAGGTGATGATCATTAAGGATGACTGATGACCTATGAATATTTCCGCACGCTGACGCTAATGGCATAAATTCTGAATTTTAATTGAAGAGGCAAGACAGTGCTATCATAGTTAATGTGTTTTATGTATTGCAAAGACCTAAGAGATCACTGACCGAGGAGAGAGAGTGAAGAAAACATACCACGACATCATCACTACACGCAGTCGTTCCCCGATTATGACAATTCAATTTCATTAAAACCGATATCATGGAACAGTTTTTTTTATACCTTACGTGATATCATTAAAAAACCAAAATACTCGCGCTATCACATATAACCAAAAGATAATTACGAATGTGTGTAAAAACCAGTACAAAACATTCTCCATTATTAGAAGAAATTGAAGAAAATATTGCAGTTAGGTAAAGAGGGCGAGGCGAAGTGTTAATATTTGCCTTCACGTAATTGAAAACAACATTTTTGGACGATTGCTTAAAAAAGGTGAAAATTAATAATGGCGATAATACTTGTAATTATCCTTGCTTACTTTTGATAATTATTGTAAGTGGAGAGAGAGAGAGAGAGAGAGAGAGAGAGAGAGAGAGAGAGACGTGTGAAAGTAAGAATAGGTGTGTGAGAGTAACGACAGGTGTGTGAGAGTAATGACAGGTGTGTGAGAAGAATGACAAGCGTGGAAGAAGAATGGCAAGCGTGGAAGAAGAGATGCAGGTGTGTGAGAAGAAGGCAGGTGTTTGAGAGTAACGACAGGTGTGTGAGAGGAAGGCAGGGAAAGATCACAGGTGTGTTACACTCTTCCCTGTCTCATTAACCTGCTGCTGTACGAAGGAAACACACCTGCTTATTTCCACACTGTACGTGCATACCCATACACACATGTGATTTCATACATACACGCTCTGATACATACACGTGCACTACTGTTCACCCTTAAACAGTATACATACACATATTTACACACATTTACACATTTACAATTAAAATGCATGATAAAATATACACATAACAGACGTGTACATGGTAACAAAAACGTTCACTTATCAGGCGTGTACATGGTCATTAAATGTACACACATCAAGCGTATACATGGTTATAAAACGTTCACATATCCCGTAAACGTTCACATATCAAGCGTGTATGTAAGACGATACTGACACTAAGTATTTTCCGCAGCGCAAAAAAATTCTCGGCAAAAAAAAAAAAAATTGTGTTTCTCTGAGGAACCAAAAACATGGCGAGGATTTATGTCTCAGACTCACGTGAAGGAGAGAGAGAGAGAGAGAGAGAGAGAGAGAGAGAGAGAGAGAGAGAGAGTAGCATAAATACAATAATAAAAAAATAAAAATGAGACAGGAAATAACAAGAACAAAAATAAAATGAAAACAAGGAAAATAATTGAAAATAAAAAGACAAATGAATGAAAATAAGACAGATATTTATCGCACTACTTTAAGGTACAGGTGTGAACAGGTTAATATTACACTGACACAGGTAAATTAATTAATGATATTGTATTTACACCTTTGTACTGACATATTTCAGCCTTTTCTAAGAATACACGTTCACATATATACCAGCATAATGATATACACCCATACACCACCATACACACCCTTCTGCAATACACACTCATACATACACACGCTTCTATAACATACACTCATACACACCCTTGTATTCTCACAGGTATCCAAGCGGGTCTCCCACAGGTGTCGTACGTGAAGGCTATCGACGTATGGATGGGCGCTTGTACAGGTAAGTCACACAGGTGTTGAGTTAATTATAAATATCTTTATTTTCGATCACCTGAAGATTAGACACCCAAGTTTATTTTTATTAAGAGATTAAATACCGTGGGTTGGGTTGGGTTGGGTTAGATTAGGTTGGGTTAGGTTAGGTTAGTTGTGTTTAATTATTAGGTGAAGTAAGCTGCGGTGTCTAATCCTCAGGTAGTAATTTTTTGCTGGTTTGTAAATATTTTTGTTAAATTATGTTAATATTATTTTTACTTCTGTTATTTTTTAAAGAATTTCTGTATTTATATGTTTTATTTTTGTTTTAATTTATATCAACATTCTTTTTTTGTTTGTGTTTGAAACTTTGTTGTAATAATTGTCAACTTTTGTTTTATTTGTGAAAACATTTGTATTGTTTCATGACATTTCTGTAATTCTTGCTAAACGTTTCCTATTTTTTTGTAAATCATTTTCAAAACTTTAAGTAGATTTTTATAAACATATTGTAAATTTCTGTAACTTCTTAGAACATATTTGAAACATTTTGATAAACGAACACTTTTTGTATTTTATGTAAACACCATCCATAGGTCAGGGGTCATTTAGTTTAGGTTAGGTTTATTTTAGTGACTCCCTAAAACAAGTCATGTGCTCGTATATACAGAAGATGGTGACCTGGATCATTATCTAAGGCTTAGAAATATATTTTGCTGATCCCATCACAAGAGGTAAGAGGTCATTTGTAAGATAGTATTGGATTGTAAAGTAAGTGTAACGTGATTAGCAATTATATACAAACATCTAAATAACTTTGGCAATAGTAATAATGAATCCTACTACTGCTACTACTACTACTACTACTTTTCTACGACTACTACTACTACTTTTCTACGACTACTACTACTACTACGACTATTACCACAACGACTATTACTACTACTACTACTACTACTACTACTACTACTACTACTAATAATAATAATAATAATAATAATAATAATAACAACATCCATATACGATCTCCACATACAAAGGAACACCAGAAATGTATTAAATTTTCTCAAAAATTTTTATTCACACTTCTATAATATCCATCAACTGACACATATCTGATAATTTCTTATGTTATATTCCACCATATGTTACATAACCTAACTTGTGTTAATGTGGAATAGATTAACACTAAATCCGAGAGACAGTGGTGAGGACGTACCATACACTTGAAGTAAGGTTAAGTTATACTCGAGGTGCATTGCCAAGTCGTGACATAGGTGTATCTCTAGTTCTTACCTTGACCTTGAGGCCTGAGGATCACAGTAGGTGTAGGAACAACGCGTCATAATGAACGTATCTCTCAAGTATGAAGACTGTCACTCGTTCTTAACTTGAGATACGAGTACATTATAATATTTTTTTGTTGATGTGAATAACTCCAGACGATCTTGTCCTCTCTACTCACACGTCCCCACTATTATATACAGTATTATACCCCCGTAATAATGTCACCAAATCTATAATAAGAATCTCCATCGTATTGTCATTATTTTAGAAGTCTGTCAACAGAGGTCTTTTTTATGAATAATTACAAAAAAAATCTAGGAATTTGCCTTGCAGGTTTAGAGCGACACAAAGAACACATTCTTTAGATTTTTCAATACAGTTTCATTTTAATTATTTACCCACCTTGTTACCTGGAGTTTGTATGGGATTTAGCCAGAGAGAGAGAGAGAGAGAGAGAGAGAGAGAGAGAGTCTTTTATGATGGCACAATGGAATGTAATAAATAACGTGGTCTTCAAAGCCTCGTTAGGTTAGGTTAGGTTACACGTATTAGCATCTCCAGGTGTACAGTGATGGAACTCAGGTGACTTAATTGGCACATTAATCTGGGTCCATTATGAGTCATGCTGATTGGGTGTCCCGTCTACCAATCCCAGGGAATATAAAAACTTTTACAATCTAAATTACTCATGATTAGGTTCATCCAATGAAGAGATTGTAACTCTGTGATTGATTTGGCATTTGTAACTCATTTCACCTCAAAACACTAGTGAACACTGTAGTATCCTGCCTTCACACTCTGTATAAACACAATACCATAATTTCCTTTAACATAGTCATAATTATCCCTCCCATTAGGTCCCTATACAACTACGGAACTCTATTAAACTTATAAGGGAATTAAAACCACACATACAACCACGTATATCTACTAAACCTATAAGAAAATATAAAACTACTTCACAAATATCCAAAAACAATCCTACAAGTGAGGGAATGGGGGGGGGGGGAGGGAGATATACCTAACCTAACCTAACCTAACCTAACCTAACCTAAGCAAGAGAGAGTCCTGTTGGTTTTTTAAAAGGTGTGAGTTTGTTTTCTGACAGTGACGTCTAGACATCTACTTCTCTGGACACATTAATCAAACTTCCCAGGAATCTTACTAACAGAACTTTGCTAAACTTCCATCTGTTGTTTTCTAATTAAATTTTGTCGCCCAAGCTGCCTGTGTAGTGAAGAGCTTATATATTGTGACCCACTTCAGCTCCTTCCTATTCCCTTGAAGATAGTGTGAGTCAACTAGATTATAAATATTAAGAAAAAAAATGTAAATAACAAATCCCTCTCATTTTAATTATAGGTTTCATTTCCAGGTTTTATAATCGGTAGTGTAAATCTCTCCAAGGATTTACAAATTATGAATCAGTGTTTTAGTTTTAACTCGCTGACACAAAGAACTTAATACATTCTTTGGCACCTCAGTTCGGCTCATTAATTCCCTCCTTCCTCAAAACCAATCAGGTCTTCACTCTACTCAGCTAACGCTTCCTCTCTCGATATTTACGACTCTCAGTTTGATCGGATTACCTGAAGCTTAGGTTCCTCAGCTTAGTCCACCTGATGACTAAAACCTTCTAACGCTATCTAGAAGGGTTAGGTTAGGTTAGATTAGGTTATGTTAGGTTTGGTTAGGTTAGGTTAGGTTAGGAACCCTTAATCCCCACAATAACATATATACAGTATAAACCAAGGAACAACTTGGGATCCCTCAGAATTATATCCTACAAGTGCGCTGGACTAAAGACATCCTACGGGACCAACATCCTCCAATCCTCAATGAGAGTTTGCATCCTCAATGACCAGGAGTCTATTCACGGCGGAGGTGAGGAAGGATCTGTTTGCGTTTCCCGTTCCTCCTCCGCCTGGGTCTGTTCCGAGCTTAAATCCTTAGCCATCTGGGCTCTGGGTTTCTCTGTTCTGATTCACTGACAACATTTCCAGATCCGACGTGCAGTTCGCTTTGTGCTTCGTCGGTGGATAGGGTGAGGGTGTGATAGGGTGAGGGTGATAGGGTGAAGGGGGATAGTGTAAAGAGGGGTAGGGTGAAGAGGGATAGGGTGAAGAGGGATAGGGTGAAGAGGGACATTATACAAGGATGAGGTTAAGAGTTAATTATCATTTTTCAACCCGAGGGAAATAAGAATTCAAGTATAATGTTTAAAAGCCAAGTTACCAAAGAAAAGGTAAATTATCGTAATGGGCGTGTTTCTTTACAAAGCAGCGGGACCCAGGTAAGTACTCAGGGGAAATTAGGCTATATGGGTGAGGTACAGGTAAGTCGCTTTTTGTGTACCACCCTCCTGGGCACACTAAGGTGGTGGAGGAAGAGTGGGAGGAGGAGGGATTGATTTTGATTTTGCCGCTTGCAGCGGCTACTTTATTGTGCACCCCACACTCATCCTGTGAGCGGTAGCGCAAAAGGATTACAGAGTAGGGTTTACAAAGGGTCATAATAATTAACCCCGGTTGTCAGGATATTATGGCACCGAAAGTTACACAGTATTTCATTTACATTATTTGTTTAGTTCTATACATAGAGGGTAACTTATTCACAAATGCGTGAGAACAGGCGTGTGAGGCAGTATGTCTGGCCTCACACTTTATTATTCACATTTACGTGGGAGGTATTCAAGCACATTGCGTATTTGGTTCTGTACATGAGAACTGATATAGTTACTGAGTGCAAAAAAGTGGATACAATCTTAATATGTCGGCTATCTTGCCATTAGAGATGAAGTGTTGTGCCATTTCACACACAGTGTGCTTGGACCTGTCCCTAAAAGGTTCTATCTTCACACAGTCGAGGACGTAGTGTTCAAGTGTGTGGCCATATGTATGGCCACACACTTTACATTTAGTTTTGTTTACATCTGCTTGAGGAACATACTGCCAGAGGTACTTATATCCTAACCTTAATCTAGCGGTTACAACATCTTGTAATCTAGTGATCTTGTTACTTGCTCCATATACATGTTTCACTTGATACATCTCATCATGGTAAACTATGGATCGACTAGTGCCTGTTTGCACTTGTCTACTTGCGTCAAACTCATCAATAAGTTCTTTCCTAATTACAGTTTTAAGGGTTCTTTTTGACAGACCCAAATTGTATTCAACGGTGTCTTTGTTAGACGCGAGTTTGGCGAGGGCATCAACTCTGTCATGTTTTATGAGGCCTATGTGAGAGGGGATCCACAACAGTTTGACCCTGACACCCCGGTCAACAAGGCACGCATATTTGTGTCTGGCTTCAGAGACAAGATCGTGACAACCTGAGTCGAGGGTACCAAGGGCAAGTAGTGAGGATAGAGAGTCAGTGATGATGAGACTGTCAGTAACAGTGGTTTCAATGAATTTAATAGCTGTGAGTATGGCAACTAATTCAGTTTGTAGAGTGGATGCCCAGTTGTTAATTCTAACTCCTTTCTCAATTATATTACCGTCAGGTTGAGTCACAACAATAGCACTTCCAGCCCTCCCACAGGCGGTGTTTAGAGATCCATCAGTGTAGATGGTCTGTGTGATATTATCATCAGTCTGTAGAGTGTGTATGTGTTCAAGGGCTCTCAATTTGCAGTGTGTTGGAGATAAATGCTTTATATAATTAATTTTTTAGGCGGATACGTCGGTATTGTGATATCGAAGGGAACTGTCCGCCAGGGTGGCAGGAAGCGCTGTTGTGTCTCAACTTTGTACAGGTGGTCTAGTCCAAATATCTTCATATGTGTAGCTGTAGTTTGGATCCATTTAGACTCAGTAGTCCCATGGTTCATACATTCTAGCAATTTTAAGGAAACAATGTTATCAGGATCACCACGCAGAAGCCTCAGGGCTATCATGAGGTTGACTTCAATTATTCTATCTTTAACACTGGGTATACCTAGTTCTTTCCTCATATTAAGTACTTTAGTGCTCATGGGACATCCTAGGATAATTCTGAGGGCTTTATTTTGCATTTTCTCGAGCTTGTCAACGCCTTTCCCGTCACGAATGACCAGGGCTGGTGCGTGGTAATCTATCAGAGATCTTATATAGCCTAGGTACATTGTTTTAACAATTCTAATATTAGCACCATAGTGCGGGCTGTACCCCGCTACACTTCTAAGAGGTCTCAGTCTGTCAGTACATTGGCGGGTTAGCTGTTGTATGGCAGGTAGGGTACAAGGGACGGAAACACCAAGATATTTAAAAGAAGAAACATAGTCAATAGTGTTGTTACCTATCTTGAACTTGGCGGGGCCGCGTTTGCGGTTACCAGCTTGTTTGTTGAACACCTTAGTTTTGTCAGTGGAGATAATAAGACCGAGGTGTTCACAGGCTGCGTATACATGGTTCAGGGTGGTTTGCATTTCACGATGAGTTTTAGTATGTATAAGAATATCATCAGCATAGCTGATTGAGATATTGCTGGGGTTGTCTGGTATTAAATTTAATAATGCATTCATAAGAACATTGAACAAAGTGGGGCTAAGTACTCCACCTTGAGGGGTACCAAGTTGCATATCTTTAACTTCACTTTTGTAACCCTGAAACAGTGCAGCAGCCCTTCTGTTGGTTAGGTAACCACTTATCCAGTGTAACAGCCTACCTCCTATATCCATTTTGGCTAGTTCGTACAATATCAGTTGCCTATTGGCAATATCAAATGCAGCTTTTAGGTCAAGAAATGTGGTGTATCTGTGCCTTTCATCACCATGCACAGTTAGGAATGTGGTGATGCAATTATGTACACCTTACGAGGAGGGAGGAGGGGGGGAGGAGAGGAGGAAGGGTGGGAGGGATTTATGAAGGGGAGAGAGAGAGCCTTAGTGAAGGAGGAAGGAGAGGAGGAAGAGGGAGGAGGAGAAGGGGGAGATTTAAAGTGACTGAAGTGGAGGAGAAGGGGGGGGATTTAAGTGAAGGAGGAGGTTGAGGAGGAGAGATTGAAGAGAAGTCTGAGGAAGACAAGAGAGAGGAGGAGGGGGGAAGAGGGGGCGGATGGGGAAGTATAGAGATTGACTCAGCGGTGAGAGGAAAAGGAAGGAGGAAAGGGGAAAGAAGAGTAGAGGAGGAAGCGAGAGACCTATTACAAAATTAATAATAATAATAATAATAATAATAATAATAATAATAATAATAATAATAATAATAAACTTCTTTACGCCATATCAGTTGATCTAAACCTTGGCAGCAACACCACTACGACTATGCAAATCTTAACAGCATTTGGCTATGTTCTCTCCCCTGCCCTCAAGAAGTAAATGCACTGAGTCGATCGCCGGGACAATATCTGCCACAACACCTCACGGAATGGTCTATGCCAGTGGTGTTTACAACTTGGTATTCGGCGCCGATATTCTGAAGGTCTTACAAGGTGTCGTTTCTTTCTGGTAACATTAGGTTAGAATGATGCTGATTTTAGTGGATATTCAGGTTGGATGTTGTGATTTTACGACGACTGGGAGGTTTTGTGAGTTTGGGCCTTTATTATACGATAATATCCATAGATAGTGACTTACAGACTTGTGGTGGTAACAGTATGTAGAAGATCTCAACAACAACCAGTACTACCCCCATCATTACTTCAACTACCACTACTACCACCTCTACTACTACCACCACAAGCTATTATCGAAGCACCAAATAGGAACCTGACCTTAGAAGCTTAGACAATCAAGATGGAATTTACTCCTTTGGTCATTACTGTACATCAAGGCACTTACGATGCACTCTGGTCCAGGATGGCCTTGAAGACAATAATACAAGGCAGTAATGGGTTCCTTCAGCTGTATATAGGATAAGGATTCCTTGTAGGATATTAGGATATTCTGCTCTAGTTTGGTAGGAATTATTCGGTACTCTCGTTGATTTGTAGGATATTAGGTGCGTGTGTGTGTGTGTGTATGTCAAGAGTTATGGTGTGTAAAGTGTAAATATCACGTCAATACCACACATCCAAAGCGTTTCGGTAAAGGAATTGCAAATGGACTGTTATTCAGGTATCTCTTGCAGCTGTTCCTTCTCATGTTTTCCTGACCTTCTCTTGTCGATGTTTTGGGCTGTCGGTTGCAGCTGTTCCTGTCTCTTGTAAAATACCCAACACTTACTTCACCTTCACCTGGCCCTTGTTTACCCACCCCAGCTGCTCCTCTCAACAAGTCATGCATATACTCTAGTTCATTCACTCTCCTGGCAGCTTCATACACCTCATCCTCACCAGCTGTTCCTGCCGATAGAACAACCACACCTAACCACCTCCAACTCAAGGTAAAGGTGGTTCGCGAATCGCACAGCCACTTAATTAACAAAGGAATCCAATTGTCTCTATGTAAACGACGTCGGGAAGTAAGACTCCTCTCATCCCCTCTCAAAAGACTCTGCCAATTATGGTGTCTCGGAGGTGTTGTGCTCGAGGTGTGCTGTTGATATTGTCTGGCGGGACGCGAGGTGCATTTTGAAGAGGTTCGTGTAATCTAGGAATCAAAGCGAGAGAGAGAGATGTGAGGAGTCAGTTCTTATGTCTTCAATGTATGACCTACAAAAACATTATCAAAAACGTAACCTAACCTAACCATACCAGGTAGAGTTGGCGTGTGTTTAATCAGCAGGTGAAATCAACTTGGATGTCTAATCTTCCGGTGATCCGACATTTTCAATCAACATAAATTATATCAGAAAACTAATTAATTTCTGAAGGAATAATAACGTCTGTTAATCTAGCTTTTTCTCTCACTCTTTCACATGTCTGATTGAGTTGGGTAAGTTTGTTTTATCCAGACGCTAGAGAAAATTTGTCGTCTCTCTCTCTCTCTCTCTCTCTCTCTCTCTCTCTCTCTCTCTCTCTCTCTCTCTCCTTTTACTGGCAAATGCTGCCTGTAAGATCACACGAAGTTCTCTTTGGTGTAATGAAACTAAACTTCTCGTATTGGCCATTTAAATGAAGACGGCTCGAGTGAGTTGATCGTTCACTCCCTACATGGTGACGCTTGGCTGTACTGGACGCAGGTTAGGTCAGGTCAGGTCAGGTCATCACAAGTAAACATAAAATATCTATTGTTTAATTATGATCTTATTTCTTTTTTTTTTTATTGTTCATCTCGTCGCCCAAAACAAGAACACACAACATTGACTCTTTGTTTGTTTGTCGTGCACACTTTTGTCAGATCTGGAAATATTTGTTGGTTATTTATGGTGTAGAAACTTAATTACACACAGGATCAAGTTCTAAGTTTAGGATATATAAGGGATATAATGCTACAAAAAATTGATTCTATTTCATTACACTTATCACCCTTATTCTCTTCCTCCTTCTCCTCAGACACTTACTTCTCACTCACCCGTCTCTCTCACTCACTCTCCCTCCTTCACTCACTCTCCCTCCTTCACTCACCCTCCTTCCTTCACTCACTCACTCATTTCCTCCTTCTTCCCCTACAGCCTTTGTGTTCTGCGCCCTGTTGGAATTCACCTTCGTCAACTACCTGTGGCGTCGACGTCCTCAGATGGAACTACGATCTCGGGGTGGTTCCAACGGGACCTGCCTGGCGGAGCGCTACACCCACATCAGCTCCTACAACCACCCACAACAGCAGAAGGCCTCAACAGCTCCCATCCCCAGCCCCACTGAGGTCAAGATCACACCTGCAGGAGGAGGAGCCGTTGTGACCACCCCCGGCAGCGCTCCTCCATGCAGTTCCGAAATGGTGGGTGAAGAGTTGAGGTTCTGTTATGGGATATTGTTGTTGTATGTTAGTTGTTGATATTGACAGATATTTTGTCTTAGAGTTTCGACTTGTCTTCTTGGTTATATTTTCTGTACATTCTATCCAGTCTCTCCCTCCCTCCCTCCTCCCTCCTCCTCCTCCTCTCCCCTCCCTCCCCTCCTCCTCCTCCTCCTCCTCCCCTCCTCCTCCCTCCCTCCCTCCCTCCTCCCTCCTCCCTCCCCCCTCCCTCCCTCTCTCTCTGTCTCCCTTCCCTTCCTTGCTTTATACACACACACACACACACACACACACACACACACACACACTACCCCCCACACACACACACTACACACCACCTTTATTCATCCACTCTCTCTCTCTCTCTCACACAGCACAAGGGTAGCAATACTTCCCCGGGACACGACGAAGCTTCTCATATGACAGCTCAGTTCGTCAGGGCCATCAAGCAAAGTAACAAAATTAAAGCTAGGCAGATTGACGAGTACTGCCGTGGACTGTTCCCTCTACTGTTTGGCTTCTTCAACATCTTCTACTGGTGTTACTACATGCTCTGAATGCTCCCTAAAATGCTCCAACATCCTCCAAAAATGCTCCTTCTTCGTTGGTTATAATGCACCGGTGCTCTAAATGCTCTATTGCTCTAAATAACACGATACTTGATATACTATTATGATTCTATGAAACAAATTCTCTCTTCTTGCTCTTTCTCTTACCCCTTCTTTGCTGTCTCCTTCTGTACTACCTCCTCCCTCATTCCTACTATTACTGTCTCCTTCATTCTTCCCTTTTCTTCCTTCTTAACTCCGTCTTTCCTTGTACACTTATTGGATGCGGAAAGTATTATTGTACACATGTTAAAAAACACAAAGAAATGTTTATCCTCATCTGTCAAACACAAAACACACACCTGTTAAACATACAATAACACACCTGTTAAAAATACAAAAGCACTTATGCACACCTGTCAAACACTCAAAATATACAATTAACAAACTTAGGTAAGACTTATAGGCATTAGATAAACCCAAAAAACATTTCTACACAATTATTAAACCAGAAAAAACTACACACACCTGATAAACCGAAATAATTCAGATAAACCCTCGTACATATCTGATAAACTACTTTACACAGGTGTTAAACCAAATATACACTTTACACAGATTCAAATCCAAGAAAAAAAGTCAAACCACTGTTAAACCCAGATAAACAAATACTTAAACACACTTGCTAAACCCAGGAAGACACCATACACAGACGCTAAACCTTCCCTATACACTCACACACAGACGCTAAACCATTCTCATACATTCATACACACCTAAACCCTCTCCATACACTCATACACTCCCTAATAAATCATACGCAGCTGGAATATACAGACTAAAATACACATCTATATACCTGGGGCCCAGAGAGACAGGTGGTAATGGTTACTAATGAGGGACCCAACCTGACCACCGCCCCCCCAGGTAACTCTTATTTACCACCTGGGAGTGAGTTGCACCTACTGACTACAGGTGCTGTTGATGGAAAAGGCTGGGTCGTGTACAGTGTCTGACTACTTGGATGGAGTGTAAAAAGTTGAAGCTTGTGGAGAAAATGGCTAGGGAAATTATGGTCTGAAATCACGCTTATTAATGGCTTGTATTTATGTTCAATGACGTAAATAATTTCTTTAAAAACATTCTTGTCTCACATCCTGTCCACTATCTGTGTCACGAAGAGGTCAGAGGTGAAGGTTTCGTGTGGTGATGAAAAACAGAAAAAATGACTAAACTGTAATATTTTGTTTGTGGTGGTGAGCACATTGAGCTCCGTCAGTGTGTCAGTAAGTGAGGAGCAACAAGTGACAGTCGTGTAGAAGATAAAGAAAGAAGACGTTGGAGCCCCTCGCTGTCCACCAGACAGCTGTAGGTGGGAGGGAGTGGTAACAGACACACGTGGGTTTAATTCTTAGATTATAAATATTTTTGTATAAAAGATACGAATGTCATCATCTGCTTCTGCCTTCAAACTCTTCCTCACTTCACCTGTCCCAGTATACATATACTGTATATGTATATATATACATATAAATATATTTCCTTAACGAACTAAGATGAATCAATAAATGTAGTACATATATTTATATATACATATATGTATATGTTAGAATTAATGTGTTTTGTGACGTCGTGTGTCAGAGACTCAGTGTATGGCGGAGTATCAACCCGTGTAAGACTCATCCAGCAGAGGAAACGTAATAATGTTGTGTGTTGGATGGAGTCTTCCACACGCCTCTTGGTCTCTGTCACAAGACGCAGAAGAGAAAACGTAATATCAAACGCCTGTGTCTCAGCTTCAGCATTTATCTGAAACAAATTTTCGACACCCGAGGTATTCTGCTGCCCATCACACGTCATGTTATTCTGCGTAAATCTTTAACGCAAGATTTTTTTCTGCTTCTGCGAGTAAAATATTGTCGATATATATATATATATATATATATATATATATATATATATATATATATATATATATATATATATATATATATATATATATATATATATATTATTTTCACTGTAAATAAAGAGTGCTTGAGAGCACAGTACAGTGTTAGGAAGGTCAGCCGCCAGACTGACCTACACAATAAAGGTCACATAAACTGACCTAACAGGACGACTGTAGATCACGTTACACCTTTAATTAAGAAGTAGAACACCTGAGCCCCCGATGAAAGAACAACTAACATAATACAAAATATTCGTCTCATTACAGCAATAAATATGTGCTGAGACTCAACCCTTCATCCTGACTCAGTGCAAGTGAGGAGGAAGACGCGCGAGTCCCCCCTTAGAGAGCTGGCGACACACACAGCGTGCACCTCACTCTCCACCAATTTATAATAATAACTGTTATATATGAGAAAATAAGAGTAATTAATATCGAGTTCACAGAAATACATCTAATATGTTATGTAACAAAGGAACCTCGAATATTTATACAAATTGTATTATCGCGAATCACAAATAAATACTGTATTACTTTTTAATGGCAGTTATTCTGGAATATATAAAGGGGTTTAATATCATAAATATACAATACTAAACAATAACACTTTGAATAATTATTACTTCACTGTTTACGTTTACAAAGTCTCTGACAGTATTTGTAAATAAACCAAATGTAAATACACATGAATCTTTCCTTCAACATAAAAGATACACACGGACTCGCTTGTAAGCTTTGCCTGCCTAACAAAAGCTAAAGAGGAATTCAATTTCAAGTTCTGACAAAAGTAGTCGCGAGAATATGTTTATCAGACTATTTTGTAAAGGAAGTTTGTGTTGATCTTCCTGCCGGAGCGCTGATGACTGGTTACTGGTGCTCCTGTGAGAGCCAAGACGAGGGAGGTGGTGTCTCGTCTTACCACCGAGACAAGACTGACAGATCCCCTTCTATGACTACAGTACTTATAGGAATAATACTTAAACCCGAATGATTGTCTAGAAATTCCGACACGTTATTTGAATCTATTTGAATTTGTTTTTTACTCAAGTTAGGCCTTTATTTCCGTATAGATTTTGGAGTGAAAATATGTAAATTTCCTTCCCGGGAAACATTTAGATTCAAATCCTCTATATTTTTCCTCCGGGTTATATTTGGTTTTTAGGTAGACGCCGTTTCTCTGGAGGCAGATGTGAGGTCACCACTACCTTCCTCACTGTCTCTCACATCAATCTACCCACAACAGAGAGACAAGTACGTACACTTCTTCGGGCTTTTGTACGTGATTCCTCTAAGGTGTTGTACCTCTGTGAGGAAGGATTCTCTGCTTATTTTACAATATAAGACTTCTAAGAGTTCTGTGTCAAATACGTTTCTCATGCTCGTCTCCGGCAGAGTTCTGCATTTGCTTGGCTTGCCAGTGTCAACAGGAAAGAAGGTTAGATTATATAATGCTGAATTTTTATCACGAACGGAGATATTACTGTATACCATTTCTTAAGTTGTAATTGTGTGGCAGAGATGAACAACAATCCTAAGACAATTTTGTTTTCACTCTTCAAGCAGTGAGTATAAACATAACCCATCCTACTGAAGGTTAGTATCATTTTATACATAACTAACATCAGTAAAAGAAAACAAATAGAATTAATTGTATTTGCTCGATATTTAACAGTGCAAAATGATCTTACATGTTGGTTTTTTCCTTTCTTTGGTCTTAGATGAAGCAGATATATTGTAGTACTTAACTTTATAGATCATCTAGCTCCTGATACCATCCCGTTGTAACACCTTACCATCCCTTGCACGTCTTACTCAGAGTAAATACAACTATTATCATCTCATTTGTAGTGAATTTGTAGCTAAAGTGACGCTGCTGCTATGTTGACATGTCCTTAGTTCCTCGTTCCCTGATAGTGAGTAATTGACTGGTCATCTATAGCCTTCACCACACACTGTTTTGGGGTCTTCAGGAGCCTTCTCAGATAGACATTTGGTTGCTGGTTGTTTGGCGAGTCTCAACTACCACAAACAGCAACCAATCAGCTGCTGTGAGGTGTGATGACTGTTCTGGACGGTAGTAATGGAGGAGGTTAATTGACAGGTTCATTCTTTTGTCAGTTTGGTTTTGTATATTGTCCACTGTCTCTCCCCACTACTGTCCACTGTCTCTCCCCACTACTACCCACTGTCTCACCGCTACTGTCCACTGTCTCTCCACTCCATCATCTGTTTCGGAAATCGATCACTTGAAGATCAGCCACCCCTAGTTTATTTCACCGAACCTAACCTAACATGATCTATAATCCATATTTGTGTTGATTATAGGAAGAGTTTAAGCCCCCATGCAACCATCACCTCCTCCACCAGGCTCCCTATCACCTCCCCCCACCTCCTCCCACCTCCCCCAGACGACCTTTCACTTTCCCCACCACCTCCCCCATTACCTCCCCACCACCTCATCACCACTTCCCCCACCACCCCATCACACCCCCCACCTCCCCACCATCTACCTACCACCCCCATGTCCCCACTTCCCACCACCTCCCCACCCCCCCCACCCTCCCCACCACTTCCCACCTCCCCACCACTTCCACCACCTCCCCACCACCTCCCCACCATCTACCCCTACCTTCCCACCATGTCCCCATTACCTCCCCCACCACCCCCACCTCCCCACTTCCCCCACCACCTCCCCACCACCTCCCCACCCCCCCACCACCTCCCCCCCCTGCCCCCACCTCCCCACCTCCCCACCACTTCCCCACCACCTCCCCCACCACTTCCCCCACCACCTCCCCCACCACCTCCCCCACCACTTCCCCACCATCTACCTACCCTACCACCTTCCCCACCATGTCCCCACCACTTCCCCCACCACTTCCCCCACCACCTCCCCCCACCATCTACCTACCACCTTCCCCACCATGTCCCCATTACCTCCCCACCACCACCGATTCGAATCCGTCTTTTAAGTACACGGAGATTCAGTGTCCAAGAACCAAGATATTAGTGTACCCTCATTCTATCATCATACGGTAAATTAACTATAAAAAAAAATCCCTTTCTGAATTACTAAAACAAAAACGAATCTCACCAGAAAATCTCCAAAAGAGAATCAAAGTCTTGGCTGGGTGGTTTAGGTAGACGAGACGTAAATGGGAGTACCCCAGTGTCGTGACCAAACTCCAAAGTTGAACCCGTGGAGTAAGGGTGAGTCTCAAGTTTCAGAGACTGGCAGTAAATACACCGTGTTTACACAAGTTACGGAACAGACCTGATCTTACATGGGAGGGTTATTGGGACAGTGTTACGGGGGTGCACTAAATATTGTGGCTACTACTACCACTATTACTACTACCGCTATTACTACTACTACGACTACTACGACTACTGCTACTACTACTGCTACAATTACTACTGCTGCAATTACTACTGCTACTACTATTACAACTCTTACTCCTATTTTTTTTATAATGGCCTCCAGCCTCCCCCAATTGCCATACCTTTGCCACCATTTTATTACCTTAATATTAAATATCCTAATACATAAGTAGCTACCCTAGCTGTGTTGAGTTAGCTAAGCCGCAGATCTATGCTGCATTCAGTGACTGTAGCCTCATAGTCAATATCTGCAACTGTTGTCGGCTTTGGGACCGATGCTCTCGTTCCCCTGAGGCAGAGCAAAGCCGACCGAAGGAGAGAGAAGGACAGTCGACATCTCATCCAGGCTGTAACATAACTTCTGGGCTGCTGCTTCTGTTCGGAGATCACCTCCGCGAGTCTGGCGTAGAAGCATCTTGCACTTGGTCCCATCCCACCAGAGGTTGTGAACACTAGAGGAGTGAAGCTGCCTTGATCAACGTGCTGAATTCTCTCCCCCTATGCCCTTCTCTTGTCGTTCTCGTTCCTCCTGTGTGCAGCATCGAGAGCTAAGTTATGGTGACATGCGGCCATGGGATCAAAAAAATCTGATGTCGAAGAAGGCTCGCTGTCCCCGCGTCCAGAATCCTCGAGCACTGACGTCAATACGGGCTTCGTTGGATGTGTTTGAAGTCCTATGCAGGACTTCACGACAGATTTCCTTCAACATATTTGCTGTACTCCTATTACTACTATTACTCGACTACGACTACTACTACGACTACTACTACGACTACTACTACGACTACTACTACTAATACGACTGCTACTATTATTACGGGTGAATCCGATACGGTTGTGGGGAGGTGTGTGGGTGTTGTTGGGTTCAGAATTGTCCAAAATACCATTAGGAATATGAGATCCGGTGAAAAAAAATACAAATGAGATATTTTCTTTCCGAGTAATGAAAGAAATTGAGTTGGAATGCTATTAGACTAGAGATTTAATCCTTACCAAGTTTCATACGATCTTCACCTTCTGACTGAAATAATGAACCTTTTCCTTCCCATTTTTCCCGGTTTAACAGCTTCTTCCGAGTCCTGGTTTCGAGTTCATGTTTTCGTTGTTGTCATTTGTGTTGTTTGGCAATCATTTTGTACACTAATTCTCATGATAAAACTATTTAACTTTGTATGGTGTTTTATTGAGTCCCGTTATAATAAACAGTTATGAATGTTACTTCCAGTGCACCTCTAATACTGACTCTTCATCAGTGATTACAACAGGTAAATGGAAGCGAGAACAGTCGGCTACAAAGGTCTGGTATCCTTCCTGTGCCTTCCTAAACCGAAGCTGTTTCGACCCTTGTCAGACCCGTAAAAAGACTCCAGGTGTAATAAATAAATAAATAAATTTTGGGCCTAATTATCCGCTACCTTTAATTATTCCATGTTTATTTTATTTATTTTTTATATATTTTTTCTTTTATTCTGGACTTAAGACAGTTCTTGATAATATTAGTAAGTCGTTTTATCTCAGGTAAATATAACATCAAAACACAATACTAATATTACTGGGAATAGTTACTACATACACTTTCCATAAAACTCCTGTAATTTGCAACTTTAAATGGGAACAGCTACTTAATCTCCAGCAACACAATGTCTCTCCTTACTGTAATAAAACACACAAAAAACAGTGACCAATGAACAAGAACGCAATAAAAATAAAAAATAAACCTTTGAAAACCACTAAAATTAATCGTCCATAACTTTCTCTCTTTCTTAATTTTTTTGCACTTTCTTCTCTATAACTTTCTAGCCCATAACAGTAAACTCCAGCAACAGAATCATAATAACAGTCACACTTATCTTCCTACGCTTTCAGAACCTCGTTGTCACAATGGTCATGGAGCGAAATTATCCTTAACCTGGAAATTTATCGGCGGTGTTATATTCTCGCCTGAGGGAGAGTTTGAGTGCTCTGGCTCTCAGGTCTTAAAATGTTGGCTCGCCTCGCCACCACCCCCTCCTTCTCCCTCACCATCACCCCCTCCCTCCCTCACCCTCCTTCTCCCCTCACCCCTCCCCCCCTCCTCACCACCACCCCTTCCCTCCTCACCACCACCCTCTCCCTCACCACCACCCCCCTCCCTCCCCTCACCCACCACCCCTCCCTCCCCTCCACCCCACCACCCCCTCCCTCCCTCCCACCACCCCCCCCCTCCCTCACCCACCCCTCCTCTCCCCTCACCCCCCACCCCTCCTTCTCCCTCACCACCACCCCTCCTCCCTCCCCCCCTCCCCCCCACCCCCCCTCCCTCCCTCCCCACCCACCACCCCCTCCTCCCCTCACCACCACCCCCCCTCCCTCCCTCCCACCCCACCCCCTCCCCTCCCCCTCTCCCCTCCCACCCCTCCCCCCTCCCTCCACCCCTCCTTCTCCCCTCACCCACCACCCCCTCCCTCCCCTCCCCACCCCACCCCTCCCTCCCACACCCTCCCACCCCACCACCCCCTCCTTCTCCCTCACCACCCACCCCTCCCTCCCCCACCACCCCTCACCACCACCCCTCCCTCCCTCCCCTCCACCCACCTCCCACCCCTCCCTCCCCTCACCCACCCCTCCCTCCCCTCACCCACCACCTCCCTCCCTCCCCACCACCCCCCCTCCCCTCCCCTCCACCACCCCCTCCCTCCCCTCCCCTCACCCCCCACCACCCCCCCTCCTTCTCCCCTCACCACCACCCCCCCTCCCTCCCCTCCACCACCACCCCCTCCCTCCCCTCCCACCCTCCACCCCCCCTCCCTCCCCTCCCCACCACCCCTCCCTCCCTCACCTCACCACTCCCACCCACCACCCCCTCTCCCCTCCCCCCACCCACCACCCCTCCCTCCCTCCCCTCCCCTCCCCTCCCCACCACCCCTCCCTCCCTCCCCACCACCCCCCTCCTCCTCCCCCCACCCCTCCCCCCCTCCCCTCCCACCTCCTCCCTCCCCCACCACCACCCCTCCCTTCTCCCTCCCCCCTCCTTCTCCCCCACCCCTCCCTCCCTCACCACCACGCAGGGATTGAAAGTGAAAGAATTTGAGTCTTCTAAAAACCCTTCTGTTCTTACTTAGATTTTTCTCTCTCCTTTTCTCTTTTTTTTTAATATATCGGTTCATTTCTCTCTTCTTTTGCCTCTACACAAACACATATACACAAAGGCACATACAACCACACACTGAACTATCATCTCACTACACACTGGTCAACAGAACATGACAGTGTAATATATATAGCTCATGTTATTTGGCCGGTCAAGAAGCGGTCTATAGACACAGGTGTATCATACGTATTAGAGGTACGTGTGATATAGTGATAATTATAATCTATTTCTGATTGTTCGAAAACTTGATGAGATATAGTAAAGTGGAGTAATCGTATAGATAAAAGTAATAAATTATAAACGAACATCATCCTTAACTTAATTAGATGTAATATTAGATACCAAAAGACGCCTTTAGAGTGAACATTCCCACATAGTGAAGACGGACTCAAAACAATAACAACAAAAACTTATCACTATTTCACACGACAAGACCATCATAGTATGTCAACGGTCATTAATAACACGACTAACCACAAGGATAATTAATCTACTGACAATATCATCCTGACATCGGCTATAATTAATGAATTAGGCAACTGTACTTCCGCTCAGCAAGTGGAAAAAATGACATTGTCGCAATTAGGCGCTTTGTCATCTGGCCAAGAGACAGATATTGAATTTAGATCACAAATTTTCAGACATGAATGATCAAAGAGATACATTCATTATCTCTTCAGTGTTGTAGATATTATTACGTGATTACTAAGTCTGTAGGCCATTAAAAAAACATTCACATGATGGCCATCTTTATTTTTAGGGGGGGGAGGGGGTGGGGTTGATTCAAATGTGCAAAAAATAAATTGGAAATGAATAAAATTATAATCACAAGGGCTAGTTTTATCTGAATGCTAAATAAGCCAGTAGTCAACTATAGCCATCTGACGTTTAACCTTGTGACTGTCAGGTTAAGTTAGG